GAAATGAGGACAGGACAGTGCTGATGAAGATACCAAGATTATAAATCTTCCCACTGAACAACAACAAAATATTCATTTAGATATTTTTCAGTCTATCTGCCAAGCTCATTTAGTCCACAAAATTATACGAAGACCCATGTTCCCTTCTTAGGAGTCAAAGGAACTAATTGTTATGAGGTAGATTGTTCATTGACAGCTAATTTTCTTTGAACTGCTCAACCATTAAAACCTTTACATTCAGCTAGTCTATTAATGAAGCCTGAAAAAATAAATTTACAAGAACTTTGATATACAAAGTTATCACATTTGATATACAAAGTTATCACATTCAAGATCTATGTAGGCACAGCTAATTTGGCTAATTTACCAAAAAGAAATCAGAGGTTAAACAAGGGTTTTTACTGAGGGTTGCTGGAGTGGAGCGGGGTGGTGGGGATGGGGTGGCTGGGTGATGGACACTAGAGGTATGTGCTGTGGTGAGCGCTGTGTATTGTGTAAGACTGATGAGTCACAGACCTGTACCCCTGAAGTAATACATTATGTTAATAATAAAAAAATAAATAAAAATAAAACAAGGGTTTTTAAACTGTGCCGTGTCCGTATTTCCAAGTGTTTTCCTGAAGTTAGTGAGGGGCTTTTCATAAAGTACAAGGAAAAAGAGTCTGAAGGCAGCAAAGCAGAGAATACAAAATTTTTCATAAATACTGAAGACAGTAGAATATCTCACAATCAAGCTATGACCAGCACAATTTAAGGCTTATTAGTATTAAGTGTAAGATTTTATTTTATTTATTTGACAGAGAGAGAGAGACAGCGAGAGAGGGAACACAAGCAGGGGGAGTGGGAGAGGGAGAAGCAGGCCTCCCGCGGAGCAGGGTAATTCCTTGAGAGCAAGAGACCTTTCTCCTGTGAAAGTGCCAGGATATTTTATGCAGATAGCTGTACCCACTGAGAGCTCGTTAAAAATGATTTGACTATTAGGACAGTGGTCCTGGGTCTTAAGAGATTCTTACATCCTACCAGATGTTGGGCACTGTTCTGGGGAACAAAGGAAAACAAAACAAAACATTCCACTTATTAAGGAATGCACATCTGGGAAAACGGAAAGATGGAGAATGAAGTGAAGCAGGCTGGGCAGACCGCTGTGGCAGTCCTGTCATCCCCGAACCCTGAAGTCTCTTTTTTTTCTCTCTAAAAATTTTGAATGGTTCTGGTATTTGCTCTTCATTTTTCCGCTTGGTCGGAAAAAAAATCCGTGATTACACACCCCTCTTCTGAAAATTCACTTTAATGTTCAGATTTAGCAAAAAATTTCAATCTCAGTTTTTAAAGTAGTATTACCTTTGCCATTCTTTCAACAACATGCCTACCCTGTACTACCCACTGCTGCTACACTCAGCATCGGTGATCCAACTGAACAAACCCAGAATTCATGCTTTCATGGAACTACATTCTAGATGCAGATACCTTCTTTGAATAAATAACATTACATATCATGCTCAGTACCATGAAAGAACTGAGTATTGCTACAGAAAATGATGGCGTGGCAGAGGGGAGATGAAGTGGGAACATACCTTAGTGAAGGTCAGGGAAGGCCTCACTGAGAAAGTGACATTTAAGTTGAGACTTGAAAGACAAAGTGGCAATCAGGAGGAAAAGTGTTCACGCACAAGGAACAGCAAGGGAAAAGGCCCAGTGGTGGAAAAGTTTCATATGTTTGAGGATTCCTGACTACGGAGAAGTATGAAGGAACATGGCATGAGTTTATTTTCTGAGTGCTTAATATACGCTAGACATCATGCTAAGTGTTTCAATGCACACTCTTATGTCATCACTACCAAACCTATGAAGTTAGATTCCCCCTCCCCATTTTCAAAAGGACATGAACAAGCATAGGAGAGATTAAGAAACTTGTTCAAAATCACATAGCAAGTGGTGGAGTATGGATTCAATTCAATGCAGCATGAATCCAAACTTACAGCCAAAGTTAGAAGATAAGCAGTAGACAAATCAAATGAGGCTTTATATAAAGCCACAGTAAGGAGCTTGAATTTTATTCTAAATGCAGTGGAAAGCCACCGAGAAGTTTAAACAAAACAGTAACATTATCTGATTTACATTTCTGTGGCTGCTGTGTGGAGTTGTATGGGTAAATGAAATGAAACCAATAAATTGTCGGGAGAGAAATGATGGTTGTCTGGACTAGAAGTAAACCAATTCAAGGTCTATTTTGGAGCAAATCAAATTAGCCTTGCCAATGATTTGGAGACAGGGAATAAGAAAAAAGGGAAAGTCTAGAATAACTCCCAGGTTTGTGGCTTTAGTAACAAATAGATCATGATGGATAATCACGAAATGGTTTAGGATCAGACTAAGTTTAGGAAAAAGGGATAGTGTCATTCAATCATTCGATAAATCTTTATTAAGCTTCTAAAATGTGAAGACACAGCAAAGTACAAAACTGATAAAGTTTTGTCTTCACAGAGCTTCCACCACTGGAGTGCGGGGCAGGCAGTTAGACAAACTGATATGTAAACCATAAGATAGTGCTAAGTGCTATGGAAGACAACAAAGCAGGTTAAGTAGGAAAGGAGGTTACTATTTTAATTAAATGGTTAGAGAGAGCTTCTCTAACGTATGAGCAGAGGCCTGAAGAAAACAAGGGAAGCCACCCTGAAGATTTCTGGGAGAAAAGAGTTCCTGGCAATCTGAGTAAGACTGCATTGGCCCTGAGGCAGGAGTGTTCTTTGTCTGTTTGAAGACTGGCAGGGAGGCCAGGGTGGTATAGCAGAGTAGGTAAGGGAAAAAAGAGATCAGAGGGGAACAGACAATATGGAACTTTTGTTAAGGATTTCGCCTTTTTTACTTTGGGTAAAACAGGAAACCCTTGCAAGACTGAAGATTTGAAGAGTGGAGGAGTGGTGTTACTTCAGCTGCAAGATGGAAATTACACTATAAGGGAGCAAAGGTGAAAGCAGAGACTCAAGAAGCAATAATGCTCTGGTGGATCAGACCAGGAAATAGAGAGTCAGATTTAGATAGTTTTTTTTTTTTTAATTTTTAAAAAAGATTTTATTTATTCATTTGAGACAGAGAGAGAGCACGAGCAGGGGGAGAGGGAGAGGGAGAAGATGTGGGGCTCGATCCCAAGTCCCCGGGATCATGACCTGAGCCAAAGGCAGACGCTTAACCATCTGAGCCGCCCAAGCGCCCCTAGACGGGTTTTAAAGAACAAACAGGATTTCTTGACAGGATTAGATACGATGGCATTAGGAGAAGAGTCAAGGAAGGATAGGCAGTTTTTCTGGACCTGTATCAAAGAAGAATGAGGTTACCATTTACTGGGCTGGTTGGGGTGAGCACGGGAGGAAAAGATTTATCATGGAAAACCATGAATTCAGTTTGCCATATTAAAATGGAGATACTTATTACAAATTTAGAAACATGTTGAGTAGGCAGCTGCTTACTGGATCTCAGAGAGGTCTGGGTTGGAGATACAAGTCTGACAGGCAGTCTTTAACACACAGACATTATTTAAATCATGTGAGTGGATCTGGGAAAAAGTAGAGACAGAGAAGAGGGGCCTGAACTGCACCCTTGATAAACTCCATCAGTTAGACATTGCCATCTCATGCCTAGTAGTCTTATAGTAAAACAACTGGTTTAATTTTGAAAGCTATCATTTATTGCACCAGCAATTTCTAAAGCCATCAAGTGCATCAATGAGACACAGTAATGAACTAAAAAGATATCATACAAAATCCAAAAGAGAAACTCCATTTATGATCAGAGAAATACTAGGACTCAAAACGTTTCCAAATATAGAGACTGTACAATCCTGTGGTTAAGTGCATGATATATGATATACTCAGGCTGTCTGGATTTTAATTCTGGTCCCTCTGCTTATTATCTGTGTGGCCAAGGCAAGGCACTTACTGGGCAGTTTCCTCAACAGTAAGTTGGAGATAAAAACGTATTGGGTTGTTGTAAACGAATACCTGAACTTTCGCTCTCAGAAAGTTACCTTACTGTCAATGACACTAAATCACTGAAACAAAAGTTGGGATCCTTAATCCCACGAATTTTTCAATTATCTTTTCAATTTTGTTTGCCAGAGAGAGAGTGTGCGTGTGTGTGAGTGCACAAGCACGGGGAGCAGCAGGCAGAAGGAGAAGGAGGCTCCCCGCTGAGCAAGGAGCCCGATGCGGGGCTCGATCCCAGCACCCTGGGATCACTACCTGAGCCGAAGGCAGACGCTCAACCGACTGAGCCACCCAGGTGTCCCTAATTTTCCAATTATCTTAACCAGAGACTAGCAGCTCTGTGTTTAGATTTCAAAACAAGGCCAAAACACGCTCCGGAATTCAATTCTCTTAACTACGGGCTTACTTACGCCTCCCAGTCTGGATTTTTAAAGCCAAAACACATCGCCAAATGTCTTAATGTCCAAAATAATCTTCGGAGGCAGAGAGAGGGAAAGGGAGCAACTAACTAGCTAGTCCTAGTTCACACATCAGAATAAGCATGTCTCCTAACAAGGTCCAGCTGTGACACAGGGCACCATGGCCCGAATCCTCCTTAACCAGTCATTTGATTCTCTCCTGGTCTCTCCTCTAGAGAATGAACGTGCTTTCGAAAATAAAGGTTAAACCAAGCTTTTGAATGGAAGTCCAGCCAAGTCCCGAGAATCCAACTCTATGACAGCAATAGGGGAAGACTTATCCAGAGTCACCAACTATCTCTTACCTTTAGTACCCAGGAGCACCGTGGGGTCAGACTCTTCTCGGGTGGGTTAGTGGAAAAACCGCGACCCTCCCTCTTCTGGTCCCACCCCCGACCCCCGGGAGCAAAGCGCCGGCGCAAAGCTGCTACCCTCCCCATATTCCCCTCCTCTCGCGGAGCTCCGGGCCCCACACCCGGGCCCCAGGCCCCAACCTCCATTCGCGGAGCGGGAGGAGACACCCGGGGAAGAAACAATAGAGCCGCGACGGCTGCCGTACCTCTCCCGGTCGCGGCCATCGAAGTAGACGAAATCGCCGTTCTGGACGCACTTGGCGCAGGTCAGCCGCCGGCGGGTGGTGTTGCACAGCGGACACCGCTCGACCGCCACGTACAGCCCCTCCGCGTCGTCCACGGAGTCCACCAAGTCCCGGGCGAGCGGCCGGGGCCCGCAGGCAGGAGCCTCCGGCGCCCGGGCTCCCTTCCCACTGGGAGACGCCATGATGGCCGGAGAGCAGAGCCAGTCACGTGGGATTTTGTTTTCAACCAGGTGCATCCTGGGCGAGGAGGCGGGGCCTGGGGAGGCGCCGAGAGGGCGGGTGGGGTCCGCCGAGCCTCTTGCCCAGCTTCTCGGTGCTCTTGGCCAGGCGGGCGGGAGGCGCTGTTGCTTTTCCTGCCTGCAGAGGGGCAGCCAGCCCGAAGCGTGGAGAATTAGGTTAGAGTGGCGAGTCAGCCAAAATGTCATCATTCTCTTGATCATGCCAAGGCTACAAGTTAACGCCTCAAGCTTGTGCAAGAAATAGTAATACGATGCCCTAGGGATTCTGGGAAAACGGATTGGGAGCAAAATAAGGGAATTTCTTTAATTCGCTATGGGTGCTTTTAAATTTGCTGAAAAGTACAGCAAAATCGGGTGAGGGGGCTGAGTCGTGGAGAGGGATTGTATTTGGGCTCACCCACCTCCTTTATAGGTTTGTGTTTTGGGTCAAATTCCTAACCTCTCTGTACTTGTGTTCTTATCTGTTAAATGGAGATACAGTACCTACCCAACGTCGTGAAAGTGAACCATACCTTTAACAGTAATCTGATAGTACTTCACTGATAATAGCGAACAAGTGGAAACAATCGTGCTAAACGTGGAAAGCAAAGTTATCTTTCTGAAAACTGAATCTTAAATTAATGTCCAACATTCTTCTACTCTGGACCTTGCTCTGAGAATTTGAACTAGGTAGAATTTAACCTAACTCGGTTACTCCAAATCACTTTCTGTGGAGGTAAAATAGGGTGCGTGGATTAAATGAGTAATTCGTGTTTGAAAATGCCTCCAAACTACAGAAGGAAAAAAGAAAAATGTGCCTATAAGTCAGTTTACCTAGACCAGTGATTCTCAAGGATTCTTTTGGTAGGCTGTCAACTGATAACTGCCTTGAATTCTCTAGCTGTGACTCCCAAGTTCCACACCCAAAGATTCACAACTACCTAGGAGGCATAAAGTGATGTAAGGTGGCCACCACAAACTGGCATGTCAGAAACTGAACTCTCCCTCCTCACAAATGTTTCCTCATCTTGGTGCAGGACATAATTCCTAACCACTTGGGAACAAGAGCCATGAGTCATGTTAGTTAGCCCCATCCCTCCCTGATAACCTGCACATCTCCATCAAATTCTGAGGATTTGGGGCACCTGGGTGGCTCAGTCCTTAAGCGTCTGCCTTCAGCTCGGGTCATGATCTCAGGGTCCTGGGATCGAGCCCCACGTCAGGCTCCCTGCTCAGCAGGAGGCCTGCTTCTCCCTCTCCCACTCCCCCTACTTGTGTTCCCTCTCTTGCTGTGTCTCTCTCTGTCAAATAAGTAAATAAAATATTTAAAAAAAATTCTGAGGATTCCACAATCTAATTAGGTCTTGCATCTGAACCCTTTGCTCCGTCCTCCTAGTCTTATCTAGTCTATTGTAATACCATGACATAGAATTATTAAGGCACAAAAAAAGCAGTAAGTCCCTAAGCTGTTTTCAAAATAGAGCTTACACTAAACCTGAATGGTTCCTGAAAGTTTATTTTTAAGCAAGAGGAATAATTTCCTCTCATCATTTCAAACAAAAGGATATTTGTCTTAAGGTTTCAGACTTTCATGTTTCACTTGTATTCTGACAGGATCCTTCACAGTGCCTGTACCTAGTGGCCAGGACCATCTACTCAATATTTTAAAAGGCAAAAAAAAATTCTATCCTGCTAGATGATGTTGTTGCAGATATGATCTATTCTATGCAGTTATCTGAAATGTCTGTATTTCCTATGTATTTTCAGAGAACGTGTTAACAGACTACATCTTTCACAAGAGCAGAGCATTAAATTTTAATGATTAAACATCATTCTAACAAGGTCCTAAATCAAATTCTGAAGTGTTTACTTTTTCAGTATTTAAAATAATGTGTCATTTTGAAAAAAGTTTCTTCAGTTCTTAGGCATGGGTACTCATACAGAATCATCTTTTAACAAAGTCAAAATCTGCATAGAAAATCTATAGTCTAGCGGTTTGTGCACTGGGCTTATGCACACACTCAAACCAATATAATGTGAGATGCTGAGTGACATACTCAGGCTTTTTTAAAACCCTTTAGAATAGGATAGATGTTTTCAAATGCTTCATAGATCTCAGAACGTTCTTTGGCACCTATAAAGAAATCCAAGTTTATATAATCTTTAATATAAAGACAATACCCAAATTTTCTTAAGACTAAAATTTCATTGTCATTTCCAAGTACTTTTAATAGGAAGACATCTCTTTAGGTTTACTTGAGAAGTGATATTTTGATAAATACAAAAGAATTTGGTGGTGACAGCCATATTCCCACAAACACATACCCTAGAGTTTTCTAGTACTTCACTATGTGGGCGTATCAGAAAGTTCATCTTTTGCCTCACAGGGCACAGTATGAACTATGGACTGTTATCTCTCAGCATGCCATGAACACGACCACAGAACATGACCTTCATCAGCACCTGTGGACACTTAGCTACCAGCAAAAGGGACTTCCTTTGATCTACTCAGGTCTAGTTAACATCTTGATTCCCTAATATTGATTCACAGAGTGAGACAAATGGCAGCAAAAGTTTTACATTCCATTGCACAAGAAGAGATTATTAGAGGAGGGAAACTGTACCACTGTCACTCCTTAGAGACTTAAGTTTCAAGGGATCTTTCATTAGAACTGCTGTAGGGATTAAACTGGATACAAACATGCATTAGACATGGTCCCTACTCTTGAGAGGTGATCAGTCAGATGTTCATCTCTCCCCACCACCCACCACCACTACTACTTCCACCTTCCAAGCTATGCAGGCACATTGTACTGAGTGGGGCTGTACTGAGTTATGGACTGGTAGTACTGATGTTTATATGGAGCTCCCAGCTAATCAGGAAACTATTATCAGATACCACTGGCAGGAGGCAAGGAGATTAAGGAAAAGAATATAAAAACCGTTAGCATGAAGAGAAATGGAAAATAGCTTAAGTTGATAAAGACTCTTCCTTGAGAGCCATAAAGCTAAGGCTCAGTAAGAGAGAAATAACTTGTGAGAAGTGGTTATCTGGTTTAATTACAAGACTAATAGGAGGGGGCACCTAGGTGGCTCAGTCAGTTAAGCCTCTGCCTTCTGCTCAGGTCATGATCTCCAGGTCCTGGGAGAAGTCCTGCTTAGTGGGAAGTCTGCTTCCCCCTCTCCCTCTGCCCAACCCCCCCCCCCCCGCACTCTCTCTCTCTCAAATAATAAAACCTTAAAAAAAAAAAAAAGACTAATGAGAGGAAATCACTAAAAGGAGAATCACCAGATTTGAGAATCAGGTAGAAATCAGGATTCAGAATCAAGCATGAGCTGTAATAATTTTAAAAATGGAAAATAGCAAAGTATTGGCAAAGATATGGAGAAATTGGAACTCTCATACATTGATGGTGGGAAGGTTAAAATGATTCAGCTACCGTGGAAAACAGTTTGGCAGTTCCTCAAAAATGTTAAGAATTACCATATGACCCAGCAATTCTACTCCTGGGTATATACCCCCAAATTGAAAACAGGTACTCAAACAACGTGAATGCAGACACGTATTCATCACAGCACTATTCACAGTAGCGAAAAAGTGGAAATAACCCAAGTGTTCATCAACAGATGAATGCATAAACACATTGTGATATTCACATACAATGGAATATTACTTAGCAACAAAAGGAATGAGGCTTTGATACTGCTACAGTGTGGATGAACCTCAAAAACATTATGCTAAGTGAAAGAAGCCAGACACAAAAGGTCACATATTGTATGATTCCATTTATATGAAATATCCAGAATAGGTAATTCCATAGAGACAGAATGCAGACTGGAGGTTGCCAAGGGCTAAGGGGAGGAAGTAATGGAGAGAAACTGCTTAATGATAAGGGATTTTATTTTGGAGTAATCGAAATGTTTTGGCACTAGATACAGGTGGTGGTTGCAGAAATTGTGAGTGTACCGTCACTGAATTATTCACTTTAAAATGGTTAGGTTTATATTATATGAATTTCACAAGTTTTTAAAAAATGTTAAAGAATCAGTTAAGTCCTTATAAGCTTAAATTTCTCTAAGAGGCAAGGGCAAAAAGTTACTTATTCATTGCCAAGGAGTTTACTATGTGTGTGTCTCCACCCTCAAAGATGTGGGGTGGGGGAAAAGGATGAGGAGGAAGGTGAGTTACTGACATGGGTAACAGAAACTCTGTACCTTTGGGGTAGGAAAAACCCCATAAGCCCCAGATTTTTGTTACAGCATGAACATTTTAGTTTCTCAAGTGGTCATTTTGTAGAAACCAAAAAGTGAGTTGGGGAAGCAGCAAGTAAAACACCATTACAAAAAAATCCTGCCTCTGATTTGATGGACCTTTTCTGCTTTTAGGTACATTTGAATGTGACAGCTTTCTTATTAGGAGACAGTGAAGTAGAGTAGATCTAGCAAACACATACCCAGCCATTCAACCTCCATCCCCACCCACCAAAACCGCGGTTCCTTTTATACTTAATTGAGAAACAGAGGATCTAGGCCCAGCATTCTAGGTAACTATGTACTTCAGTTTTTCATAAGACTAAAAAATCATACCTAAAAGGATTTTGAAGCCCCAAAGAGTTTAGCATTCTGGCATCTGCTGGAGAACAGAAAACACCCATCACCCAGGAGGAAACAGACACTGAGAGTGATCATTATTTTATATCACAGAAAAACCCCTTTAGACACAAAAGGGCTTTGTGGAAATTAACTAATCCAATTCCCTTCATTTCCTTCGTGGGAAAACAAGGCCCAAGAAGTTGAAGTTCCCCCGAACCGTGAATAGCAGCTATGGGTGAAGACCGCACGTATCCAGTATCTCTTCTAAAAGTCATCAAATAAATATGGCTAGAATTTGTAACTGGGTATTACAATGAGGGGAGGATTTGGTCCCTTTAGTCAAATATTTCCTCACCAAAAATAAGTATCACAACTTTATGGGAAACTAAACGGTCCTGTAGTCCTATAAATCTATAATCAAACATCCCAACTTGAAGCACCAGGCTCCAGGTAGAGGACTCTTGCTTTTAAGAAAACCTGAGCAGTCTTTTCCTTTAGGTAATAATGAGCACCACTTTGGGGGATAAACACCATTCCTAGCCATGGTGACTGAGGTGAAAATTCTGTGGCTGATGCAATGAAGAAAGGACTGGCTTTGAAATCACTCTGTATGGGCTTGAAGACCAGCTCTACAATTAACTAGGTTTGAAAAATCACAGGCGAACTGTTTAACTTCTGAGTTTCCATTTCCTTACCTGTAAAATAAGGACAAGAGCCTTCTCAGAGGGCTGCTAGGAGTTATGTGAATGTTTGTAAAAAATCCTTTGTAAACCATCACATTTTTATGGTCCTAGAAGAATGTGCTTCAAGATAGGGATGTTAAGACGGCTGGTCCAAGTACACCTGGTTTACCATCTGGTTCTGTAAGAGCCAGTCTCACATAATCTGTGTCCTTCCCCAGGGCTGATTCCTGGTGGGGGCGAGGGGCAACTGTATTGGATTTGCTTTTCCATCCTCAGCACCTAAAACAGGGTGGATTCCTGATGACACCGAAGTTGATGAAATATCTGCTGTCTGTCAATAAGGTTTATAAGCTCATCCCTACCCCTTAGCCAGCCCAAACATCAATTTCCAATTATACGTGGATTTTCCAATTCTATTTTTACGCCAAGTCATAGCTACACATCCCGTTTTCCCAAGTGATACCATATGTGTATGCACACAAGGGAAAAATCTTACAAATTGCAAAAAACAGCATTAAACCCTTCAAAGTATACATTTTACAGTACATACTCACTTGCCATTATTGAGAGATTCCCAGTCATGACTGACAGGGATATTATCTCTCTGGCCTACTCACTAACAAGTCTTGCCTTTTTTTTTTTTTTTTTTTTTAAGATTTTATTCATTTATTTCAGACAGAGAGAGAGAACGAGCGGGGGAGAGCGGCAGAGAAAGAAGCAGGTTCCTCGCTGAGCAGAGAGCCCAATGTGGGACTCGATCCCGGGACTCTGGGATCATGACCTGAGCCAAAGGCAGACACTTAACCGACTGAGCCACCCAGGTGCCCCAAGTCTTGCCATTTTTATGCTGCCCTCTGACCTAACACATTTCCAAGAACTGCTCATGTCTAGCTGATGGAGAGTTACCCTAAGTAAAAAAGACCCAGCTTCTTAAGAAGTCCATTATGCTGGAGGGAAAGAAAGAAATGTGAAGCATTTTAGACATTAGACTAAAGCCTCTTTAGACATCATATTTCCATCAGGGCAAGGCATCACAGCAAGACTCCAGTCTCTCAGTGCTAGGGGGAAAATGAGTGGGCTTCCACCAAGGGAATAACAGCTAACATTTATACATTTACCGTCCACCAGGTACTGTTCTTCTGCCTCCTCACATTTAGCAGGTAGTTTCTATGGCCACCTGCTTTTTACATGTGTGGAAATCAAGGTGGATAACTTAAATCCACCCAAGATCATACAGCCAAGAAATGGTCAAGCCTGGATTCAAACTGGATAGTTGGTTTCCAGAACCCAGCCTCTCAGCCACCACACCTGCTGCCTCTCACCTTTGTCCTTCAGCTGACGACGATAAGCGAGAAGGTGCCCCCAAAGACCACACAGGCATTTGCACAGACATCTAAAGAGTTGGGGGACAGGGTGAGTATGTGGGGGTGGGAGGCTCTGGAGACAGGCTGCTCAAGTTCCCACCTGTGCTGCAGCATGTACAGCTGTCTGACATGGTTAAGGTTACTTAACTTCTCCACTGTCCCCATTTTACAGGTGAGGAAACGGAGATGTTCAGTACAACCTCACAGAGTTAACTGGAACCTACATAAAAGTCTTATGACAGTGCCTGGCACAGACATATGTTCACTTTATGATGTCTGATCTTCCAAATGGAAGCCAACATAGTTGCTGTTCATTGTATATTATTCCAGCAGATCCTAGCTATATTAGTTTTACTGTGGCTTGAGAAAAAAAAATCCTAGGTCCTAAATATCATACCATCATTTCCCAGCACGGGCTTGGGAAAACAGTGTAAGGCTTGGCTCAGGTCCTGTTGCTTTTTGCTGTCAGGGACCACGACACAGTAGGATGGCAGGGCTTCATTGCCATCAGCTCACTTAACTATAATTAGAACATTCAAAATGTAGCCTTGGACATGGTGGCCACAGCCTTGGCACCTCGGGGGAGTAAGATAATTTTACACAGATAAATTATTTTCAGAGGCCCTGAAAATGGCATGTGATACAATGGTTTAGAATTGCACTTACAGTAGGTGTGGTGTTCTACAGTTCCTACCTAGGGAAGGGCTGGGATCCATTATTTAATTAGAGTGAAATGCAAATGCATTTGTAATTTCAGTACTCTAACATTTTCTAGGCAAAAGTTATTTACCCTTGTGGGACCTTCCAAAACAGCTCTGCAGAGTCTTGCCGTGTGTGCCTCTAGGAGTCCCCTGGACACTCCATGTGACCATCCCCAGCTAAAGTTCTAGAAGCAAGGCTAAAAGGAGGCCTCCTTGGTCCCTTTCCTCAGGTTTACACCCAAAATTGGGTCCTTGAGCTTTTAAACCCTTTGCAGATGAAAAGAGTCTAGATAGGTAAGGATAGAGAATAAGGAACATAGGTCTTGACGTTTGGAGCAAAAGTAACCTAAACCATGTATTCTAGGTGAAGTACTTTAAGACAATACAGCACGAGCAGGGAAAGATCCCAATAGATAATTACTCATATTTCAGTATTAAGACATTGGTTGGCTTTTACTTCATCTTGTAAGCAGAAATTTGGACTTCAGTTAATACAACTCATTCCCCCGTTCACAAAAGTGATGATCTACATCTTGTAAGAATGAAGAAATTTAGCTTTGTTTTACATGCTGAATGCATAACAAATTTTATTTGTTGTGTATAAGTGTATTGCATGGTCTTTGGTATTGCGTGTAGACAGCTCTTCTGTCACTTGAAACTTGTAGCAAATTGTACACGCAAGTTGTTTTTTTCATTTTAATTGGGGTGAGAAAGCCAGTTTGAATTAAGGATATTTAAAGGGACTTGTTTTTGTGTATCTATAATAGAAACTTAGCCTGTACTTGTCAATTGGCACTTTTAATAAGACTGATTAATAATGATATATAGCAAGTATATGAACATGTCCTTCCCAAGGTCTTCAAAAGTTTGTTCCCTTAAGTAGGGCGTATGTTTGCTCCAGTACTTATAACTATTCAACTTACTTGGCAGACATTTCCCCCTGTCCTTCAGGACATATAGGAGTAAACTTTTAAGTCAGTCACTAGGAGGTCTTAATTATTCTAGACTCTACATTGGCAGCATCTGAGAAAGTCTAGCTTTGTTGTATTCAAAAGGTTCTTGAATTTCAAACGGGCTTTCCCCACTTTGAAGACACATTAGTTATTTGTTACAGTAAAACAAACTATGAAACTTTACTGGGAGTTCTAAAAGAAGACTTAAGAACAGAAATTCCATGTTTTTGGATGCTGAGTGATAACTTTATATGTAAATATAAAGGTCAAATGGAGTCATGACAAATATTATTAATAATAAGGAGAGTAATAGGTCGTGGTAGGCTGGCTGGCTGGCTATCTGAGAGTGGGGCATAATCAGTTTGGCTCCTAAGATATAAATTTGGCATTCATCTTGCTACAGAATAGTAAAATGTGTAAAAAGTCAGACAAATTTAGACAAAAATAGCAAACTTCAATAAGATGGTATGGAAATGAGTCTCAACCATTTACCTCAAGAATTTTAAAAACCCTTCTTTATGTAAAAATAAACCAACTGGAAAAAGCCATAACAAAGAGTAATTACTTTTAATATTATGGTGAACTCATACAAATCCTTAGGGGGAAAAATAATAAAAAGTAGACAGAGAGGATTAAGTTATGTACACACTATCGACAAAAGATGAAATGCTATTTCTTGAATAGGTTTTAAAAAAGTCATCAATTTCTATTTGATTACCAGTGAGGTAAAGCAGTGAGATCATTTTCACTTATAAAGTTCAAGTTTTCTTTCGTGCCACCTTTGTTTTGGATGCTACTGAGGGTTTGTAAAAGATACTCAAGTACATTGCTGGTAGGAACATATAATTGGAGAGAACTATATTGTGTATCCCTTTAAAAAACAACTTGGTAATTTGTACTCAGAACCTTAAGAATGGTCATATCCTTAAAACAAAGTTCCATTTCTGAGCATCCACACTAATAATTCTCCACAATAAAAATAGCCAAATGTGCCATTATAAGCAGCAAAGAAGGAAGATTTAAATGCTTGACAATGGAAAAGTAAGTTTGATATGATAACGTGTTAGAACAGAAGTCAGGAGACAGAGGGCTAGTCCTGTTTTTGTATAGCCTGTGAACTAAAAATGGTTTTAAATTCAATCGTTTACATGGCTGGGGGCAAAAAAAATCAAAGAAGAATATTACATGACACATGCAAATTATATGGATTATATTAAATTTGCATTTCAGCATACTTTCCTTTCTGTAATGTCTATAGCTACTCTTGCATGACTGTGGCAGAGTTCCACTGTTGCAACAGAGACCCTATGACCACAAAGCCTAAAATATTTCGTATTTGGGCCTTTACAGAAAACAGGTTTGATGATCCCTCTGTTAGAACACTGTGCAGCTGTTAAAAGTGTTCTTGAGGAGTGTGTGACAATGAGTGAAGCTAAATGCTATAATGGTTAATAAACATGCAGGATGTAAAGATAAACATACATATCAAAATAACAGAAAAACATGAAAAAAAATATATTGTTTTGGGTATTGAGACCAATGAGTGATATTATAATCCTTCCTACTTTTCATGTTTTTCCAGGTGTTCTACAATATTGAGACTTACTTTATAATGGTGAACAAAGCCATTTGAAAGAAGAAGCAAAGCAACACATAGCTATTGAAGCCTATGAAAGTCAGAAAATAATCTTAGAACTTACCTGTCAACACAACTTTCCCAGATACGAAGATAAGCAACACAATCCGTGGTTTTACCATTCTGTAAATAAGGCCAGGAAACAGTTCAGGTTCATAACTGTTCAGATATAAAAGGAAAAAAAGTTAAAAATAGTACTATTCAACTACTTTCCCATAACATTCAAGACCCAGCGTATTAAAGCTATTCTACCAAAACCTTTTGACCACCCTAATAAAAATAGTCTGGAGTGCCCTAAGCAATTTCTTGTGACTGTCAGGAACAGAATTCATCTTTGGTCATGACATTTTTTCAAGTGCAGGTCATGCTAAGCTATTAAAAATTAAGGTAACTTAGGGCGTCAAATTTAATGTATTAAGATCTTGCTGGTTAAAAAAAAGTCCATCAATAAAAATACATAAACTTGTTCTCTAAATTTTCTAAATTTCCAAGTTTCCCAATAATGAGCACATTTTGTACACATTTATAAACTCTAAGGAGAACAATTTTAGAACCTAAGAAGTTTTCCAGACCACCATCATTTGTCTCTGGATATGTGCCATAAAGAAAACTAAACTATCCCAACTCTTAAAAATTTAGGGTTTGTGGGGCACCTGGCTGGCTCAATTGGAAGGGCACGGGACTCTTAATCTCAGGGTCATGAGTTCAAGCCCCATGTTGTATATAGCAATTACTAAAAACAACAACAACAAAACAAATTTAGGACTTGGTCCTAAAATAGTAACTCACTCATATTTACTACTAAATGTAGGAGGAGGAGGAGAGGGCTAAAAACTGTTTCAGGCTCCAGCATAGAGAAGTAGAGAGACTCCTAGAAAGGCTTAAGGAGACTTCAAAAAAGAAGTCAAGAGTTAAAAGGAAGCTGACAAAATTAAAGCAATGGCTAAGAACAGATATAAGAAAAAAGAAGAAATCTGAGAAATGGAACACAATATATGTAAATCTTTGCATTTAATGGGTGAATCAGGACCACACAGAAAAACGCCTTCCATTCCATTCCGCAATGAGTTCAGACCCATACAACAGCAGATGTGAAATCTCTTACTGGTACCGGAATGATGTGTTACAGTGGAGAGTCTACCTTCTGAAGTATATGGAGGCTGCTCTGGGTAGACTGGTCTTCCTGGAAGGTCACTCTTACTGCAGAAAGCCTGTCAAGACCTAACCTACTTGGGGTGCCTGGGTGGCTCAGTTGGTTAAGCAACTGCCTTCGGCTCAGGTCATGATCCTGGAGTCCGGGATCCAGTTCCGCGTCGGGCTCCCTGCTCAGCAGGGAGTCTGCTTCTCCCTCTGACCCTCCCCCCTCTCATACTCTCTATCTCATTCTCTCTCTCAAATAAATAAAATCTTAAAAAAAAAAAAAAAAAAAGACTTAACCTACTTACCACTTCTCAACACTGGGGAGTCAATGATACTAGCTGGAGCCCTGCAAAATCTGTATGGGAGCTGAGGTTTGAACCAAGAAAGTGAAAGCTAGAGACACAAAAGGAATGTTTCCATTTGATCTTCCAACAGAATCTTAGCATTTTAAAGGGAAAAGAGGGGGTGCCTGGGTGGCTCAGTTGGTTGAGCGTCCGACTCTTGGTTTCAGCTCAGGTCATGATCTTGCAGTTGTGAGATCAAGCCCCACATTAGGCTCTGCACTCAGCAGAGAGTCTGCTTGGGATTTTCTCTCTCTCCCTCTCCCTCTGTCTCTACCTCTGCTCATGTTCGATCTCCTCTCTCTCACTCTCTCACTCTCTAAAATAAGTAAATAAATCTTAAAAAAAAGGGAGGGGGAAGAGAAAACAAAGTCTTTGGTATGTAAGTGGTGGCAAACTGCAATTGGCTTTCAGAACCATAGTTTTAAGATACCAGCATAATAAACTTCCAAGGAGATATTTACTTTATTTTACTTATTCTCTGCCTCATTTCAAAGAAGGTTGAGGCAGGGGGGTAAAAAAGTTATTTTGGTTAGAGATGGAGAATTGCGTAAGTTCAAGAATAACAAACATTTGCCAATCTCTTGGCCAACCCAACTTCAACTCACCGTTCAACTCCTGGCTTAAATGTCACTTCCCATAAGAACTTTGACCTCCACACTCCCCGCCCCCCGCCCGTTACATTAAATATCCTGCTTAATGGTACCATAGCACTCAAAGGGGTGTCCACCTTCATAGTTACCATATTATCTTTAGCTTTTTTGTCTTCCCTTTTAGACAGTGAGCTCCATGAGGGCAAGGGACCACAGCTGTACTTTTTTTTCTTTTTTCCTTTTCCCTTTTTGAGAAAGAGAGTGCACCAGCAGGGGTTGGAGGGTGGGGATGGGAGTTGGGAGGGGGAGAGAGGGAATCCCAAGCAGACTCCATGCTCAGCATGGAGCCCATTGTAGGACTCAACCTCACAACCCTGAGATCATGACCTGAGCCAAAATTAAGGGTCGGATGCTCAACTGACTGAGCCATCCAGGCATCCTGGACGCTGGCTGTATTGGACTATCACGATCACTGTAGCATCTGCTACATGGTAGCCACCTAGATGTGACTCACTTAAGAAATATTATCAGGATATCTTTGATTTAGAAACTGAAAGAAGGGAGAAAAATGCTCAGGGGAAACTGGAAATAATTATGGCATAGAAATATTGACATCCCCCCAATGACAAGGGGGATACTTGTGGTATGAGATGCTAATACACAAACTTGTAGAACCAGGGGAATTGAAGGAACTTGGAGGTTTTAACATAGGCAAACTTTTTTTTAAAGATTTTATTTATTTGAGAGAGGGAGAGAGCATGAGCAGGGTAGAGGGGCAGAGTAAGAGGGAGAAGCAGACACACTGCTGAGCAGGGAGCCCGATATGGGGCTCGATCCCAGGACCCTGAGATTATGACATGAGCTGAAGACAGACACTTAACTGGGTGAGCCACCCAGGCGTCCCTTAACATAGGCAAAATTGACCTAATAATTACAACTGATATGTGCCATGGTTCCCCATAGGGCTGCAGACACTTAAGGAAAGGCCTCATTTTTTTTTAAAGATTTTATTTATTTAGTCAGAGGGAAAGAGAGAGCACAAGCAGGGAGGAAGGGCAGAGGCAGAGGGAGAAGCAGGCTCCCCACTGAGCAAGGAGCTGGATGTGGGACTCAATCCCAGGACCCTGGGATCATGACCTGAGCCAAGACAGACGCTTAACTGACTGAGCCACCCAGGTGTCCCAGGAGAGGCCTCATTTTAAAAGACACAAACTTGTTAAGAAAGAAGTGTTTTAATGCCCCAATGTCATCAATACACACACTGGAGCTGTAATCCATAACCTAACAGTGGAGCCTGAATGGCAAACTTTTGGAGGCGGCAAGAATAAGACCAGAAAGAGATGGTGGTAGGAATACAATGCAGGCTTTCTGGCTAAATTTTTTTCAAGATTTTATTTATTTATTTGACAGAGACACACAGCGAAAGAGGGAACACAAGCAGGGGGAGTGGGAGAGGGAGAGGCAGGCTTCCCGCTGAGCAGGGAGCCCGATGCGGGGCTCGATCCCAGGACCCTGGGATCATGACCTGAGCTGAAGGCAGACGCTTAACCACTGAGCCACGCAGGCGCCCCTCCGGCTAAAATTTTTTTTTTAAAAGATGGAGGAGATAATAAAACTGGTTCAGAATGAAAACAGAACAGTGATGGACCCACTTCAAGAGGCTAAAGTCAATGCATATGATGAACTCTCATCTTGCCCAGCCATTCTCTTTCAGAAAGTGGGAGTAGTGACAAGAGGCACTCCTGCTCTAGACTTAAATCTGAACTACAAAGATGACAATCTTGGTGAAAAAGAAATGACAAGAAATTTGGGAGGAATAGCATACATCATTTTAGAGCCCTTAACGGCCAGAAAGTGGAGTGCTAAATCTGATACAGACAGACAGAATTCAGGTGGACATCTTTCATACATTCAGGAAAAGTTGGTTCGGAGAGAGACAAACCAGAGGCCCATGGTTGAGAATCTGGAAGAAAAAAACGGCTCCTGTGTTGAGAGACTCTTAGCAAGAAAGGTTTTACTATGAATTTACAACCCATCCCAAGACTGAAGAAAGAAAAAGATCTCTAAAAAGGCAGTATTTCTTGCATGGGGAGCTTCGCAGTGAGCTCACTGGGTACATCACAGGCACCCAATAAGCATATGTTGGGGGAAAAAAAAAACTAATGTAGAGGAAAAAATACAATCAAGGGGAAAATAAACATTGCCTGAAGAATATCATCAAAGCCGAATCTCAGCATGAACTTGGATTTTTGAAAAGCTAGGAAAAAACAAAGCAATTTTTAACAGCTGTTCAGACCGTGTCTCAAAAAGAAGGCCAACGAGTGTTAGATAAAACACAGCTACAGGATCTCTATTCACTTTTAAGAGGAATGAGCACTCCAAGTCAAAGAGGGGGAAAGGGGAGCGAAAGGGCAGAAGTTCAATTTAGAGGAAGAGAATTTAAGAGCATCTGTGATTCTAAGCAGCTCAGTGACCTTGGACAGCTATATATGCCCCTGGGTGGCGGGCTCCAGGGCTGACCGCCCGCCTCCATCACTGCTGAGGGACTGACAGGCTAGAAGAAGCACCAAAGCAGCTGAGCGAAGAGGATGCTGAGGCTTTGCGGATGAGATGGGAGTTTCACGTGAAGAAGCAACCTACAGATGCTCCCTGAGGAACAGGACTCCACTAAAGAAGAAACTGCGGTGGGGGCTATCGTGACACAAACACACAAAACCCCCTCGAAATCAACAGGAAAAACACTAGATAGGATTGCCTTCACAGAATGTGCCAGGGCACTCTTTCTTCATCTTCTCCCCCACCCTCTCTCCCCTGCCAGCCGCCAGCCCCTTCCGACCTGCCTAACCCATCTCATACCCCTTCTCTTCTGGGGTCTCCACACCCCCAAGGCAGGTGAGCCTGTTTCAGAAATCTGCACAGTAGTGAGTCTCAAGCCTCTGGCGAGCAGGATTGACATCACCTGTGAGCTTGTTAGAACTACAAATTCAAGCAACATCTGTGACCATGCAGCCCCGGTAGCAAAGTGTTTAAAAAAAAAAAAAAAGCGGTCCAGGTGAGTTCTGTACAGTGTGATTTTGAGAACCGCTGCTTCAGAAGATTGAACACATAGAGTAACCAAGGAAGGACTTAAGCACAGCATCTTAATCCTTTCACCTACAGTCTTTAAAAAGAAAAACACCACTTTCTCCAAAAGGTACACTATATAAGGAGCCCATAACACAACTTCAATATCTTGGTAAATTCAGAAAGTTATAGAATGGTCATACCTACTGAACTGCTGATGGGTTAGCACCAAACCTTCCAGCCTGATGGCAAATCTCACATCACAGCTTCCAACCATGTTCTGAATTTTAAAATCGAGGAATCTGGCTGGGAACCCCAGCTTCTGCACCACACGAGCATACTTCCTCGCTGCAAGTCGAGACTGCTCTTCACTAGGGAGGGACAAATGTGTTTAAAGAGATCTTAATCATTGTGTCCTCTATACTGCTTAGGCTGTATTCACATACTTCCCTGATTGTACTTTTAGCATTTGTACCGGTTTATCTCTCAATGTATATTACAAACCTGTAGATGTTGAGGACAAGGACCACCCTCCCCTGCTTGTGTCCCTAGCACCTAGTAAAAGGTATGGTACAATGGTCAAAACCAAACCATAAACACATTCTCATCTTAATTTGTCATCTTTCACATATAGGGTATTTTTCTCTCTTGTTTCAAAGGTTATTAGATAAAATTAACTATTCCACTGGTTCTCAAAGTGTGTCCTCAGATCTGCAGGAGCATCACCACCTGAGAACTTGTTAGAAATGCAAAGGTCCCAGCCTCAGAAACTCCGTGGTTAGGGCTCAGCAGTCTGTATTTTTAACAAGCCCTCCAGATCGTGATGCTCAGTAAAGTCTGAGAACTATCCATCTGGTCTAAAAGTGTGTGCCACTTAGATGGGAACAGCAGCAGCAAAAATAAAGACACATGCATCTAAAAAAAAAAATCAGGTGCCTGGGTGGCTCAGTCATTAAGCGTCTGCCTTCGGCTCAGGTCATGATCCCGGGGGTCCTAGGATCGAGCCCCACATCGGGCTCCCTGCTCAGCGGGGAGCCTGCTTCTCCCTCTCCCACTCCCCCTGCTTGTGTTCCCTCTCTCGCTGTGTCGCTCTGTCAAACAAAATTTTTAAAAAAAATAAAAATTAAAAAATTAAAAAAAAAATCAACACGAGGAAGTAAGAGGCCAATCAGGTGGCAAAGACAGGATACTAGGACTTGGATCTTCATGTGACAAATTACACTAAAAAAAAAAAAAAAAGGCATGAAAACACCTCAAAACCTAACCAGTTTTGCTCAGGCTTTCTCACAGAATGGTCACTCAACTCACACCCAACATGAGAAAGACAGACATTCATTCAACTTTGTGGCCATACTCTTCTAAGTGTTTGTCTTGCTCCAACCCTAAATCCAGGTCACAGAATGTGAAGTCCTGCAATGTGAGGCTATATTTGTCAAAACAAAACAATGAGTAGCAGGGGTTGCCAAACAGGAGCAAAACCTGGTGGGTGAACCATGTGAACTCTGCCCTCTCTTTTGGGTTGCCCCATCTTTACATTGAAAATCAGAAACACCTGAAAGAAAAGCCAGATTTAACTTTTTGTTTGCCTGGACCAATGGAAGCATTCCATTCTCTTTCCCATCTAGACCCTTCACCACACAGCCCCTCTTATGTGCATTGATTCCTTCACATATTTCACTCCACTCCATGTTGCTTCTCCTCACCCTGAGATGTCCCTAAGTTAGCAGCAAAATAAACAGCTTCTAGTTTGAAAAACTACATTTTGCTAATTGGCCCATTACATTGCCCATTGTGCTCATGTTTATAAGGTCAAATTTTAAGTTTGGGTAGCCCTGGAGTTTCGTGGGATAGTAGCTGTGAATAGGACCATAGAAATTCCCATTCAAACAACTTGTGGTTAAAGTCTACATGCATGTTATTATACAAACATGAGGAAGTAGAATAAGAACCTTGAAATGTCACCACCAGGGGTGATAACCATGGAATACATTTGACCCTTTTGTATTTTTCCTGTGCAATCACAGGTATCCTTCACTAGCAAACTCTGGTTATTAACAACTAAAGGAATAGGTTTGGATCCATTTTTGGAAATAATTCTGATAGCTCTTAGACTAACCAAAATTTCACAAATCTCTATTCAAGATTCAAGAACCAAATAGATTTGGGTAACAAGTATCTCTTATTATCTGAACTCAGTATCCAAACTTTCACCATCAGATTTTAGGAACCAGGTAAATTCAGATAGGGAAAGATACTCATGAATATGTCTGTAATATAGCATATTTTAAAATGAAAGTTGGCTAATAAACTTATAATTTAGTTGCCTGTTCCCCTACAACTTAACACAATGTGACTATCCCTCCAACTTGATATATGTGTGTATGTTTTAATAGCTAAATATAATTTTATTTTATGACCTAATGAAAACTTTATTACTAGGTATTTGTCTCCCATTTTATTTTTTTAATTTTCCCCATTTTACACAATGCTGAAATGAACATCCTTGCAGACACCTTGCAGAGTTGTCCAATAAGGACTTAAAAATGGTAGATCTCTAGGTCCAAGGACACACAGATCTACAGAAGAGAAAGCCCAGAAAATTACCCAGACACATGTAAAGAATTTAATATGTAAAAACAGGTGGGGGGAAATGGATTAAGAATGGATTCGTCACATAGATGCAAAAATCCTCAATAAAATATTAGCAAACCACATACGACAATACATTAAGCAGATCATTCACCATGATCAGGTGGGATTCATTCTGGGGATGCAAGAAGGATTCAATATTCACAAATCAATCAAAATGATACACCTCATCAACAAAGGATAAAAATCATTTGATCATCTTAACAGATGCTGAAAAAACATTTGACAAAATTCAACATTCATGATAAAATCTCTCAAAAACGTGGGTTTAGAGGGAACTTATCTCAACCTAATAAAGGCTATATATGAAAAACCCACAGCTAACGTCATACTCAATGGTGAAAAACTGAGAGCTTTTCCTCTAAAATCAGGAACAAGACAAGGATGTCCACTGTCACCACTTTTATTCAACATAATACTGGAAGTCCTAAACACAGCAATCAGACAAAAAATAAGAGGTATCCATACTGGTAAAGAAGTTAAACTGTCATTATGTGCAGATGACATGATACTATACATAGAAAATCCCAAAGACTCCACCAAACAACTACTAGAAATAATCAATGAATTCAGTGAAGTTGCAGGATGCAAAATTAATACCCAGAAATTGGTAGCATATCTATACACTAATAAGTAGAAGGAGAAATTAAGAAGACAATTCCACTTATAATTGCACCAAAAAGAATAAAATACCTAGGAATAAACTTAATCAAAAAAGAAGCAAAAGACCTGTACTCTGAAACCTGTAGAACAGTGAAGATAACACAAACAAATGAAAAAAAATATTCCATGCTCATGAATTGAAAGAATATTGTTAAACTGTTCATATTACCCAAAGCAATCTATAGATTCAGTGCAATCCCTATCAGAATACCAACAATGTTTTTCACAAAACTAGAATACTACTAAAATTTGTGTGGAACCACAAAAGACCCCAAATAGCCAACATAATCTTGAGAAAGAAAAACAAAGCTGGAGATATCACCAGATTTCAAAATATACTACAAAACTGTAGTAATCAAAACACACAAACAGGCACGAAAACATATGGATTAATGGATGGAGAGTCCAGAAACAAACCCATAATTATATGGCCAATTAATCTACAACAAAGGAGACAAGAATATACCATAGGGGAAAGACAGTTTCTTCAATAAATGATGCTGGGAAAATTGGACAGCTATGTACATGTAAAAAAAGTGAAACCAGACCACTTTAAAACACCATACACAAAAATAAATTAAAAATGGATTAAAGACCTAAATTCAAGACCTGAAACCATAAAAATCCTAGAAGAGAATACAGGCAGTAATTTCTCTGATATCGACCACAGCACCATTTCTAGATATGTATCCAAAGGCAAGGGAAACAAAAGCAAAAATAAACCATTGGGACTACATCAAAATAAAAAGCTTTTGCACAATAAGGAAACCATCAACACACCAAAAAGCAACCTAGTGAATAAGAGAAGATATTGCAAATGACATATCAGTTAAGGGGTTAATATCCAAAATATATAAAGAACTTATACAACTCAACACCAAAAAAACAATCCATTTAAAAAATGGGCAGAGGACCTGAACATTTTTCCAAAGACATACAAATGACCAACAGACACATGAAAAGATGCTCAACATCACTCATCATCAGGGAAATATAAATAAAAACCACAATGAAATATCACCTTACACCTGTTAGAATGGCTAAAATTCAAAAGACAAGAAATAACAACTGTTGGTAAGGATGTGGAGAAAAAGGAACCCTCGTACACTATTAGTGGGAATGTAAACTGTTACAGCCACTGTGGAAAACAGTATAGAGGGTCCTTTAAAAATTAAAAAGAGGGCGCCTGGGTGGCTCAGTTGGTTAAGCGACTGCCTTCGGCTCAGGTCATGATCCCAGAGTCCTAGGATCGAGTCCCGCATTGGGCTCCCTGCTCAGCAGGGAGTCTGCTTCTCCCTCTCCCACCCTCCCCCCTCCCGTGCTCACTCTCTCTAATAAATATTCCTATAAAAAAATTAAAAATAGAAATACCATATGATCCAATAATTCCACTATTGGGTATTTACTCAAAACAAAAACACTAGTTTAAAAAGATAAATGCACCCCATGTTTACTGCAACATTATTTACAATAGCCAAGATATGGAAGCAACCTCAGTGTCCATTGATAGAGGATAAGGAAAATGTGATATATATACACAATATATTATGCAGCTATAAGAAAGGATGAGATTGTCCAATTTGAGCATGGATGGACCTAGACGGTATTATGCTAAGTGAAATAAGTCAGACAGAGAAAGACAAATACCATATGATTTCACTCACGTATGGAATCTTAAAAAACATGCAGAAGCAGACCTATAAATACGGAGAACAAACTCATGGTTGCCAGAGGGGAGGGGGGCTGGGGCTTGGGAAAATGAGTGGAGTGGGAGATACAGGCTTTCAGTTAGGGAATGAAGTCAGAGGAATAAAAGGCCAGGAACATAGTCAATGCCACTGTAACAGCTTTGTATGAGGACAGATGGTAGCTACCCTCCTGGGGAATATAGCATAGTGTCTAAACCTGCTGAGTCACATGAAACTAATGTAACATTGTGTGTCAACTATACTAAAAACCACATATGGATTCTTCAATAAATGTATCCGGTCACTTACGGGCCATTTGAAAAGAAAAACTTATCTTCTAGTGAAATAAAATTCTAGTCCAGCTCTGCTCAATATGGTAGCCACTAGCCACATATAGCTATTTTTTTAATTCTATTTATTTATTTGAGAGAAGGTAGATAGAGAGAGAGAGAGAGAGAGAGAGAGAATAAGAGCAGTTTGGGGAGGAGCAGAGGGAGAGGGAGAAGCCGACTCCATGCTGAGCAGGGAGCCCAACACAGGGCTCCGCCCAGGCGCCCCCACATATAACTATTTATATTTAAATTAAAATTAAATAAAAAATTAAGTTCCAGGGCACCCGGGTGGCTCAGTCAGTTAAGTGCCTGCGTTCAGCTCAGGTCATGATCCTGGGGTCCTGGGATGGAGCCCTGCATTGGGCTCCCTGCTCAGTGCAGAGCCTGCTTCTCTCTTGCTCTCTGCTGCTCCCCCTGCTTGTGTGCTTTCCCTCGCTCTCAAATAAAATCTTTAAAAAATAATTAAGTTACTCTGTGCATTACCTATACTTCAACTGTTCAACAGCTCCATGTAACTAGTGGCTACCACGCTGGAGAGCACACATGGAAAACATCTCCATCACCTAGAGAAAGCTCACACTGAATCAAAACATCAACTTCTTTTCCTCAGTACAAAGCAGGACCTGAAAAAGGCCAGAAAAATATACAGAGGTCAATATTTATATAATGTTGTACATGGGGAATGCCTTCCTAAGCATGAAGCCAAACATCAAAACCCTAAAGAAAAATGGGACTATACACACACAAAAATGTTAATTGTGTAAAAAAAAAAAAAATCATAAAACACCATAAACAGTAATTTGGGAAATAACATATATAGGGCAAAATGGTGGAAATACAAACAAAAAGCTGTTTACAAAAGACCAATAATTCCATAGAATATTGGGCAAAAGACACAGTAGGCAGTTTACATGCTTATGAAAAGTTCATCTCACTAGCAAATCAAAGAAATGTAATTAACACTTTTTTTTTTTTTGCCAAACCATTTGGCAAATATAAAAAAGAGTATTAACACCCAGTGTTCCTTGGAGGAAAGGAATCTTGGTATATCTGTAGAGTGAAGACAAATTCATAGTCTTCCACGAGGACAACTTACTACTCATCTTCTAACCCATAGAGGAATGAGCAGCTCTCCCCCTACAGTTGGATGGTGAAAGGGTCTGTAGCAGCACAGGGCTTCCTCTGCATGAGATCCAGGGGAGGTGAGCCTTTTAAGAGTTGCCTCCTGAGCTAATGCTCAAGGTAATGGTCAAAAGTACCTAATTTACCTCCTTTAAAAAGTTCTCTCCATTTATCTGCAATAAGAAAAATATACAATAACTACTTCCCCAGGCTTATAACAGGCTTTATCACTATGGTAGCTTTTAAGTGTACCTTAAGATCAAGCTCTAACAGCCCACCTAAGTCCCCTCAGTTTAATGGGGGACTGCAAAGCGGACAGGAGTCAGTATTGCACAACTGAATGTTTTTAACCCCAAATTTGGCATTTCATGAACTTAACTCTTCGGCAAAGTATTTTGCTCCTCCGAGGTGTTTTGGAACATAAATACTATCCTTCCTTGTTTTATATACTGAATTATTTATCTGATTAGGGTGGAGAGTGGTTCTGCATACCTTTTGGCTCCCGTGCAGACCATTTTCCCAGAGCTAAATATGAGGGCTGTTGTTCTGGGCTCTCGGATCCTCATTATGACAGCAGCAAACCTCTATACACAGAAGTCAAAAGGACAATTAGTCTCTGCTAGGCTTTAACACTATTCCAGTTGAAAAGCTGAGCTGGACATAAAAAGAGTCTTGAATAAATGGAGATTGGATGAGAAAGCGAAAAAAATGTCTCCCCGCACTAAGGTAAACAAAAACAATCAAGATTCTAAAATGTACTTAGAAAAAAACAGGTAAGGATAAGAACAATAAAGCTAAAATTTGAGTGCCTGTTCTATTTCAAACCTAATACTCAGAGCTTTACAAGTTTTGTCTCCTTTATCCTCAGGATAGAGCTCAACTGAGTCCATGATCATCACTATTTAGTGCACAGGGAAACGAAGTGGTTATTTAACTTCCCACTTTACACAGGCAATGGTAAAGTTGAGATTTAAAGCCACGACTAGTCAGATGCTGTGCTTTTTACTTTGAAATACTTCCTTTTTCTTTCAAAGACTATTGGGGTGGGGGGAGTAGGAAGTATGTTATAGGCTTGCCAAGACTCCAGAATGTACTAAAAAAAATTGCCCAACTATAGAACAGAATTTATATATTGATAGGCATGCTGAAGATGAAAGACAAATTGGTTTTCAGTTCTCAGTGTGGTTCCCCACCCAGCAGCATGGGCAGGCCCTCCAGGAGGTGCTGATACAAGGGGTACCAGGGAGGACTGGCCTGCCACACTGACATGTCACCAAAGACCTGCTGCTCCTTCGGGTCCTACACAGGTACCCCCTTCTGCGCTCATCTTCCCCTGGCAAGCCGCGAAGGAAACCGGGGTGAGTATTCTGCAAGACTGCAGCTTCCATGGGTTGGAGGCGTTCCATGGAACCAGGGTGGGACTGGCAGTTTCAGATTTGAAATGTTGACAGACAGTGAAAGAACCCTGAGTCAACACTGCACAGAGCTGATTGAATCTTGTGAATGTTTTCCAAGCGTTTAAGATAATACTCTAACCCAGTATTCATTTTATTGAATTCTGAAGGGAGCTTAAGTGCCAAGCCAGAATTTCTCTGGCTCTCAAGTCCAAGTCTGGATAGATCCTATACACAAAAATAAAATGAAGGAGAGCAGAGGATGATGGACAATAAAATATGCTTAAATGTGCCTATTTAATAGTGTGGGCAGTCATGGCTGTGGCCCTAAGAATCCTAGCTTATCATTGTGTTTCTGTGCTCATCATAGCCAGCTACATGAAACAGAAAAAGGAAATATTTGGCTAATATTCAAGTACATTTAAATTCAGAGGTCAGCAAGAACACTCCCACAACAGCCAAAACAACTTAATCCATAAATAGCTGATGCTCACAAGGTCCTCTGCATTTCTACAAATACAGGCTTTTTCATCTAAGGCCATAAATCCTCCACCCCCCAAGATAGTGAACTTTTCCCTAGTAGGGACAAGGTCTTACTCATCTTTGCATTCATAGGTACAGAGACCAGCCAATTACTAAATGTTGACTGAACGAACAAATCTACTTCCTCGGTTAATAGGCCATTAAAATTGGATGCTTAGTCTTGGCAGGACACAAGAAAGAGTAGATTTTATTAGACTTTGAGAGAAAAGAAATCCCTGAATCTTACATTAGTAAGTAGAAGCTTGACCTTCACACTTTAAACAATTTACCTTTCTCAAGCAAGAGAAATTGTAAACGGAAAAATTTAGGTGGGACAACATTTAGAAAACACTATTTCCAGAACTATGATGGCATTTTAAGAAGGTTAGCATCCCCATAGGCTGAAAGTGGTCATACTGAAAAATCTTTTTGAATGACAAGGGAAAAATCCTAACTTTTAGGAACTGCTCAATCACTGCTTTATTCATCACAGAGAATGAGGTTATTTTTTAGAACTTCAAAGCAGACAATGAGGCAAATAACCTCTTGAGTTGCCAAAAGCTTTGCACTAACAATTTTTTTTTCTGTTTTAAAAACAAAAACAAAGGAGCGAGTCAATAACATGATCATATGAAGTAAATCTAAGTAGAAGCTAATGTTGCAAGGAATACTAAGAAATCTCACCTTTGGGTTATATTCTGCATTTTTTGCATGCAAAGCTATTTTCTTCAGATCCAATTTACAGGCCAGGTTTACAGTGGAAACTATATTCCTGAAGAAATAAGTCAACTTAGAAATTACATCAGACATAAAAAGTAAAAAAGAATTAAAATGTATTAACTTCCTCATTTTATAGATTGTATATTAGCAACTTCCTAGGAGAATTATTCTCAGTGTGAAATACACGGTAACGTGACAAACCCTAGTAAAATGTAAAAGATTCCTAAGTGAAGTACAAAAATATCTTCCTCTAAAATGTCATGACTAGCTGACTAAAAGCAAGTTTGAAATCTTTTTCAAAACCATGCCTCAAAATAGAAAGCATAATTCCAAATCAGTTGCAAACTGAATTTCATTTTACGTCTTTATATTCTTTGTTTATCCAACCCCAACCACAATTCTCAGCAATTAGAGTACTTTAGTACAAACAATACAATCCTTCAAGAATGTATATACTAACTCTTAAGCTTCTCTTAGGAGATCAAGAACTAGTACCTTATTTTACAGATAAACTGTCTAAAGCCACAATACATTAAGAATGGATAAACAAATAATTAAACCTGAAGTGCTCTTCCTTACACTATTATTCTGAAATTAGTTGTCATTACATTCATGAACATAAAATGTGTACCCAGGAGCATCACCTGTTAAAAACACACACACATACACACACAAACAACTTACTGTAGTTGAGGCACAATTCCAGAACATTCTGAAACAGGGGTCATTGGTGTCATGGGAGTTATGGACACCAGAGGCATGGAGTTTGGTTTCTCAAGAGAGGGCTGGACTGAGTCAGCATCACCAGGGTACAGATGTGAATGGGAATTCGACAAACTGCTGTTGCTTATTAAGCCCAGACCAATGTCCTGCTCTCTGGATAATGACAACCTACTTTGCTGACTTTGAGTTTTATAATTTTCTTCAATTTCATGCTTGCTTCTAATGATACTCTGGTCTTTATTTTCTTGGGTAAGTTCATCTGGCAGGAAGCTAAGATCCACAGATGAGAAATGGCCAGATGTTTCTTTGACTTCTTCAAGATGTGAATTAAACACAGTCTCTGGATGGGATGGATTAGGCATGTATGCATCATCAGGTACAACTGGACTGAGCAGCGGTGACCTGGACGGAGCGAGGTCATCCTAGGCCATTCCCAAAACAAAATGCAAGAAACAGAACAGCAAGTCACACCAAAGGGATACCACTATAGCTAGCAGGCAGTGTGTTCACGATGCCCAGTAGTCCAAGATAGCTTATATTCACTCCTTGCCTCTTTCCACAAAGTACCACTAATGTTATATTTCAGAGTTGCAGCACATTTAATAGAAACAGGAAAGTAGATCTTAAAATGCAGACAAAGCGTTTTTTCAAAAAAATGTTTTTCCTACATTAGATCCATTGTAAGTTGCCACTCTAAGTCTAATTTTGTAATAAAGGCAACTGAGCAACCATACTCTAAATTGTGTGTACTTCGGGTCCTCTTTGCTACCTTTCTGTGCTGCCATAATGGTGCACACGAATGCCCTGGCAGGTGCTCTCAAGAGCATTAACAATGCTGAAAAGAGAAACAAATGCCAGGTTCTTATTAGGCCATACTCCAAAGTCATTGTCTGGTTTCTGTGATGACGAAGCATGGTTACATTGGCAAATTTGAAATCGTTGATGATCACAGACTGTGAACCTCACAGGCAGGTTAGGCAAGTGTGGAGTGATCAGCTCCAGATTTGACGTACAACTCAAAGATGTAGAAAAATGGCAGAATATCCTGCTAGTTTAGTTTCATCGTATGGACAACCTCAGCTGGCATCATGGACCATGAAAAAGCAAGACAAAAACACACAGGAGGGAAAATCCTGGGATTCTTTTTCTAGGGATGTAATACATATATGACAAATAAAATGCCTCAATGGACAGAATAAAATTTTTTTTTAAATAGTGTGTACTTTGAATAGATTTACTGTATTCCTTGATTATGAACTTCAGCTAAATTTTTTTTAGTTTTTTTTTAAGATTTTATTTATATGAGAGAGAGAGAGAGAGAGAGCGCGCACACAAGCAGGGGGAACAGCAGGCAGAAGGAGAAGCAGACTTCCCGCTGAGCAGGGAGCCTGATGTGGCACTCGATCCCAAGGGGATCATGACCTGAGCTGAAGGCAGACACTTAACTGACTGAGCCACCCAGGCATCCCAAATTAATTTTGAGTGGGTTATTTTTCCACCTTTTTTTTTTTTTTTTAGATTTTATTTGAGAGAGAGAGAGAGAGAGAACGGGGTGGGGGGGAGAGGGAGAAGCAGGCTCTACCGCTGAGCAGAGAGCCGGACCCGGGGCTTGATCCCAGGAACCTGAGATCATGACCTCAGCTGAAGGCAGATACCTAACAACTGAGCCACACAGGCACCCCTACTTCTTAGAGTCTTAAATTCATAGTTTATAAAGAGACAAGTGAAGGAAGCTTAAGATAGAGTCTTGAGTGCTAATCAATACTCCACTGAAGACCCAAGGTTATTCCTTCTAGTCAAAGGAGATATGAACAAATATTCTAGTTTGGTGAATTTACAAGAGGAAAACAGTTACTGAAATTTAAATGGCAAGAATAGTTTAAACCAATGTATTGTACTTTCAGTCTGGGGAAGGCTGCTCAACCTCCATTACCATCAACTGAGGGAACGAGGTGTGCAACTGAGGAAAGCAGCTCATATAAAATTCACGAGCTTTTTTATGGAAAAAAATCGATTACTTTGATACATATGTTACCACCTGTTTCACCCAAGTTGTAGACCTAGATTCCAGATTTTGAGCACTGCTTGCAGGATAACCTCATCCCTAAGAAGATCTGACTTCTGACAACTGAACATTCGTGAACGCCTCATCCTGGATCTTCATGACAAAACTACCTCAAGCTAACAAAATGTCTGGCTAGATCCTACTGAATTGTTCTGTTATTCCAAGTCCAGCAGATGGCAGGGGTGACTAATTGTTCAAAGAAAACACTTTAGAAGAACGCAGTTATTCTCCTGAAATAAGATTTTGGAGTGTTTCATTTTGAATTACGTAATTCTCCCCCACTTACCCCCACCCCACAAATCAGCTTTAAGAAAAGTGAGAGGGGGGGAAACGGCCAGGATTCTCTCATTGGCTTCTCCTGTACTGGCTGGAAAGGATCTCATCAGCCAATTTACACTAAAGCACTCCTATCTGCAACAATCCCTGTCTCCCCTCCTTTTTCCCACCCTGACATTTTAGCAGGGAGGAAGCACTCACCCAAGGAAACCCAGCTTACACTAGCCATCTAAGGCAACGGCAGCAAGATATGGAAGGGGGATGTTTCATGGCAACGGAAGTTTGACAGCCTTTCTGGTGGACCGTAGGAACATACCGCACAGGATGTACTTACAGCATATTCACCGCATCTTTGGCCTTATATCTGCAGAAAATTTTTGCTAAGCTGTTTTTGCAGAACCATCAACTCATCTTTCCTGCGTGGGCTTTCATTTGCTATGTTAAACACAATGAAGGCTTCACTATTTCTACTTCGGCGCTAATCATCGTCTTTTTTAAAAATCCCCCATACAGAAAGTTGCACTTTTTGAGGACTCCTTGCTCTCTTCTACAACACTTGACTCTAAAGATTTTTTAAATTGAAAAATAAAACAAACAAAACACCAAGAACCACGAACTGAAAGCCACAGGTGTCTCCAATTCAAGTTTTGCGACACCCCCCCCCGCCCCTAGAGACTATTTTTTTGAGGCCTGTTCTTGGCATCGAAGGCTGCCACCCCTTGAAAGTGCAATACCAACGCGGCGCGGGGTAGTCCGCCTACGTTTCCCTTAGCAAAGCGGGGACACTTGAGAACCAGAACTCTCCGTGTCCGCGTCTTTCCATCCGGGACGGGACCATCTAACCATGGCTCTGGAGTCACACTACACCAGGTTCCGCTTCTGGTTGGCAACAGTGGCGTGTCATTTCCCCTCTCGAAGCTTCTATTTTTCAACTTAAAGACGAGGACCATCAAGCCTACCTCTGACGGTCGCTAGGAGTTCTGTACCAGCTACTGAAGGCAAAGCCCTCAGCGCTCAGGACTGGGCGCGCTCAGCAATCGGGCGGGGACGCGCTTTGGCCCCGGGACAGCGGCAGCGGCTTCTGGGCTCACCTGCGCGACGCACTGATCCAGGTAGAGCTCCAGGTACGTCTGCTCCTCCTCCATGGGTGGAGGCCTCACCGTTAGAAAGGCTGAGAAGGGGGAAGCGCCCAGGCAAGTCGAACTACCGCGGAGCCCGACTGCGCGCACGTGGCGCACAAGCCATTTATCCGCCCGGCGGGCGCACGCGGCTAGGCGGGGCCGGGGGGTCGGGGCCCCGAGCCTGGGGTGGGGGCGAGGTGAGGTGGGGCGGGGCAGGGCAGGGGCCGCGCGGGTCCCTGGCCTCAGCCTCCGCCCAGCCCACGCTGCTGCAGACTGCGCACACCGAGTGAAGAGCAGGGCAGGGGACGCAGAACTCAGCCCCGGGCCCACAGGCCCCTGGGAAGAGGGGGAGAGTGGGGAGCGTGCAAGGAGAAGCGAGGGAAGGGGCCCCTCTCCAGCGTGCAATCACCGCACTCCGCCCACAGCTGAGGAGCACCTTGGCCCGCAGATCTGGAGATTTCCTTCAGTACCTGCACGTGCTCACGCCTTTGCCTCCAGGGCAGGGGTCAAGGTGTTCGCAGCATAAAAGGTGAACGCGTTGGACGATGAGGAAATGAAAGGTATCCTCACCCCCCCTTTTTAAGGGATTTTTTTTCTCTCTCTCTCGCTCTCCTGAACAGAGCGAGTGGAATTTGAAACACCCTTACCCAGTCAGGTGTAGTACTTTTACGTTATGATTGCTTCTCGCCTTCAAATCCCAGGTGTTCTTCCTCCAATCACAGAGCATTCAGTTTAAAACTACGTATAGTCTGAAACTAGTATAACACTGTACGTTAACCAAAGTGGAATTAAAATATATAAAAATATAAAGCTTCATACAATCAAGTGTGCTGCCGCCGTTTGAGGCAGCTCAAGCAGATAATACAAAAACCAAATATTCAGAGTTGCCTCTTTCTTGAAATCATTATTTTAATTTTCAATGCCTCAGCTCTCCTAAGAACTTAAATGTGCAGATGGTTCTATAAATAAAATTGACACTTTCAATGTAAGATATTTCAACATGTACATGAAGACACACATAAAAATGTCTTTGCTGTTATACTCTCTGAGAGCAGGAAGTTTGATTACTCATCTTTGTATCTCTGTACCAAGCTCATAGATGATCAATAAGACTTCATTGGTGATTGAAGCTGCCCTTGAAATGGAGCAGGGGGTGCGGGGGTTGGCGCCTGGATGAGTCAGTGGGTTAAGCAGCTGCCTTCAGCTCAGGTCAGGGTCCTGGCATGGGAATCCCTGCTCAGCAGGGATTGCTTCTTGCGGGCCAATCTTGCTTCTCCCTCTGCCCTTCCCCCAGCTCGTGTGGGCACTCTCTCTCTTCTCTCTCTGAAATAAAATCATTTAAAAAATGGAGCATGGGAAACATTATGGTAAATATAGATGGCTCTCACAATCAGATCACAATAGAAATCTTAGAGAATTTCTAATCAAGAATATAGGAAATGTTTTGATAAAGCTGACTTTTATATAATGGTTTATAATGACATGTAATTTTGTTACAATTCTGCCTACGAAAAATGTTTAGCACAGTTCCTGCCTGGTCACTGAGATACTAGCCTCTTGGTTTTGTTATCAGACTCTTAGGTACTGAATTGTGTTCTTCCTCAAATTCATATGTCAGAGCTCTAATCCAATATGACTGCTGTCCTTATAAGAAGAGAGACACCACGGATGCATGGGCACACAGAAAAAGGCCATGCAAGGACACAGTGAGAAGGCAGCCATCTACACGCTGAGGAGAGAGGCCTCAGGAAACCAAACCTGCTGACACGTCGCTCGTGGGTGTTCAGCCTCCAGAACTGTGAAAAAATAAATTTCAGTTGTTTAAGCCACTCGGTCTGTGCTATTTTGCTGTGACAGCCCTAGCCAACTAGTATATAGAATCATAAAGGGTCTCATCATAGGTGGTAGGCAGAATGCTGAGATGGCTCCCCAAATTCCCACCCTCCTGATGCATACACAGTTTCTCCCAGTTATTCAAACTCATCTAGGTGCTACTGTGAAGGGATTTTGCAGATCTAATTAAGGTCCCAGTCAACTTCAGGAAAGGTAGATGATCCTGGGTGAGCCTGACCTAATCAGGTGAGATTTTAAAGCGAACTGGGTTTTTCTTCCTCATGTGGGAGATTCACAGCATGAAAAGGATTTACCATGAAGGAGATTCTCCACTCCTGGCTCTGGAGACTGGAGCCATGTTGCAATGAGGGTGGGTGTCCTCTGTTTGCTGAGAGTGGCCCACGGTTGACAGCCAGCAAGGAAATGGAGACCTCCTCCTATGGCTCTAAGGAACTCAGTTTGGCCAACAACAAAGAAAGGAATCCCTGAAAGGAACTCAACCTGGGCAATACCGTCATTTCAGCCTTGGAAGCCCTGACCAGAGAACCCAGTCATGCTATGCCCAGACTTCTGAACTATACAACTGTGAACTTAAAAACGGTGTTGTTTTGAGCCACCAAACTTGCGGTAATTTGTTACTCAGAAACAGAAAATGCAAAAAAGAGAGAGATGGAAAAAGAATACATCATAAATTATAAATAAGAAGTAGGGACCCAGATTTGCAGTGATCTGCAGTGCAAATGGTAAAGCAAATGAATAAAATGTTAACAACAAGCAAATTTGGGTAAGGGGTACATGAGGGATCCTAGTACTACTTTTATTTTTGTAACTTCTTCTAGGTTTGAAATTATTTCCAAATAAAGTTTCAGAATAAAAGAGGCGTGACTGGGTGAATGTTTTCAGTTGTTTTGTTGAGAGTTAATTTGTCCAAAATCTTAAATAGTTGTATTTCTGAGAATCAAAGATTGATATGGTTTGATTGAATAATAATTAAATGCTAGCAATCACTGAACTCTTATTATGTGCCAAGCACTGTTCTAGGTGTTTCAGACAGGAACTCATTTAAACATCACAACAGCCCTGTGAGGTAAGTACTCTTTTATCCCCATTTTACAGTAGAGGATACTGAGGCACAGAGAAGTTAGGAAACTTGTCCCAGGTAACACTGCCCCTATTCAGAGTATTTGACTCTTGAGTCACATGCTACGTATTGTCCCCCATCAAAGTCTACAAACGCCATTTCAAATTAGTAGTTTGTTTTCACTTGAACTGTGTTTGTTAATCTGTTTTGATTCTGATTTTTTTCTTCAGATTTTGTAATATTTTGTACTTTGGCAGAAAAAGAAGAAAAAGGAAAACAAAATAACCTTATCCAAAAATTTTAATCTCTTCTTTCCTAATTACCGTTGTGAAGATTAAATGGGAGTATGAATAAACTTTTAGCAAGCATTTTGCAAGTATAAAGTATTGTTTTTAATGTTGTTAAGAGAGTAATGTCAAGACTTAGATTGACCACGCCAGCAGTTATGAAGAGTGTTTAAGAGAGGTCAACTCTTTGGAAAATAAGACTTTAACTCTTACTTTAATAGGCCCTGTCCTTCATCATAGAAAATATTAAAGGGGCACCTGGATGGCTCAGTTGGTAAGTGAATGCCTTCAGCTCAGATCATGATCCCAGGGTTCTGGGATTGAGCCCCACATTGGGCTCCCTGCTCGGTGGGAAGCCTGCTTTTCCGTCTCCCTCTGCTGCTTCCCCTGCTTGTGCTCTCTCTATCTCTCTCCCTGTCAAAAAAATAAATAAAATATAAAAAAAATATTAAAATAAAATCCATATCCCACATTAAATGTAATTTATAAATCACTGAGAGTTGAATTGCTTGTGACCAGTTGATACGTCCCGTTTTGTAGACATTTAATCAAATTTACTAATTCAGTTTTGGAATTTTTTTTTAAAGATTTTATTTATTTGACAGAGAAAGCGAAAGAGCACAAGCAGGGGGAGCAGCAGAGGGAGAGTAGTACTAGGTAGGATCCCTCCCTGCTCTGCAGGGAGCCTGATGTGGGACTCAATTCCAGGAACCTGAGATCATGACCTGAGGCGAAGGCAGATGCTTAACTACTGAGCCACCCAGGCGCCCTCAGTTTTGAAATTTAAAAACATTTTGGAGCCAACAAATTTTTCTCCGCTCTCAAACAATCAAGAGCACTGGGCCTCAGCCTCTAAAATGCAATCGCCTGGGTGGGACCAGATAGTCTCTGGCAGGAAAAAGATGGAACTTCAGGGTGGAAGGAATATTGGGAAACGTGTTTCACTAGGGGGCGCTCTTTTCTCTCCATAAATATCTTACGGTTTGGGGTGCAAACAGCTTTCAGAGTCAGATTACAAAGGGGTCCACACATTCCCCTAAATGTTGAAATAAAAAGTGGATATTTCTCTGTGGCAGAAGACCAGGGGGTACTTCCAAAAGATAAGATTAGTCACTGTACCAATCAACGCAGATACATTTGTCCATATTTATACAAAGAGATTCAATTTACAGTGGCTAAACAAACCTAAAGGGCTTTTAGAGTAATCCACACTCCTACCACCTTGATGGGTGTTATACATGAGGGGCAATTTCGCTGCCTAGGAAAAATCTGAGAAGCAAGCATTTTCATAAATGTGATTAGGTTTCTTGAGGCCATGTTAGGAGAAAACATTTTTAATCTGTGGCCATTTTGCTAGATGCAGCCTTCTTTTTGTCTTAGGAGCCGTGGGCATTCGTTGCAATTAATCTCTATATTGAGCTGCAAGCTTCCTGACAGGGATTTTTATACACAAGAATATGAAGGTGGATTTGAGCAGGGCTTGAAGGTCTTTTCTAGATCAAAACTTAATGAATTTCTGTCCTTTTAGTAATCATTTGAAATAAAAATATCCCACAATAAGTCATCCTTTCCCTTCTCCCTGGAGATGGAGCCTAAACGTCAGCATCTGTGTGATGGCTCAATCAAGAAGGTGCTGAAGCCTTGTCACAAATGACCTTCTTAGTCACCGTGGCCGTGGCTCACCAATCTCTGTCCCCTGAAACTCTTGAATGGTAACGTCACCATGCTTCTTCCTCAGGGAGGCTACTGCAGTCCCTCTCAGGTGGTGCTGTACACTGAATGTAAAGAAGACTCACTGTATCTTCATTTTCCCAGGAAAATGG